CCTTAGTCAACATATTGCAAAGCCTTAGTGCTTGGGCTTAGACCTGCGGTCTAACGTCAGACTCAAACATGAAGGCGCCTAGCCGCAACCCAGAGCTTGAGACCCTGGTTGAATTGGCTAGGCAACGACGCCTCCCATCGAGGCTAGCCGAATTGGTGGGGAAAAGAACACTACCTGGGGAACCTCGCCCGGGGCATGCCCAAGACAGCAGGTCCTGCTTTTGTTGGGGTTCATAGGCTGTCAAACCAGGCAAGAACTTCCAAGACGATAGAGCGATAGGGAAGGCATACAGTAATGTAGACTCTTGATTCTTGACTAATAAATAAAAAACACATCTGAATATGTTTCACAAGTCAATTGGAGACGTTATCAACCAAGAGCCTACATTACATACATATAATACAAAGCACAACGACTGAAGTGCTTCCACCAGGTCTCTGTTTCACCTTCTTCAGTTGTTCCTGCACCAAGCTGCTATCACCTCCTCGCCTTTCATCTCCCCAGGTGATGACCGATCCACCCGAGCGAAGCGCAGCGAAGGCATAGCGAGAGCCTCGAATCTGCACCACATCTCGCAGCTCCTCTTGGACCTTGCTCGAATCCCCACCGAATGTGGGGTTGCCCCAGGTGACCACACTTCCTTAGATCGGAAGAAAACAAAAGGCCATAGATATTTCATTACGGTCAATTACATGCCTTCGACCCCAGCACTCCCTCAGAATATCAAGAATTAACAATGTTTTTCCAAACCGGGGCTTCCATCGTCCAAAATGGCCGCGAAGGCATAGCTCGAAGAGTGAATCTCTTGCACCGTCTTCAACTTCTCTTGCACCTCACTGCAGTCTCCTCCAAAGTATGGATCTCCCCAAGTCAGCACAGATCCATCAGACAACAAGGCAGCAAAGGCCCAGCCAGTGGATGCAAGTGCACAAACCTTCTTCAAACGATCCTCCACCGCGCCGCTGTCCCCTGCGGACCGTCAGGCGATGAGTCCCACAGCGACGTTGGGTTTGGAGTGAGCCCGGCCTTCTGTAAGCCACCGAAAACTGAGGGATGACAGAAGGGGACTGTCTTGCTCAACATGGATGTGCTTCAGGAACCGGAAACAAAGAAACATATTCGCCTGAATGAAGATTTACCCATAAGAAACACCTGACGATCCATGTATGGAATACAACTACATCCATGTATTGCAGCATTTAGGACCATGATGTAAGTGACTATTGCATACGTGGATGATCTGGGTTATTTCCTGGGTGAGCTGTTTGGTTGTATTGCACGGATTGTTGATAAACATTGAGAAGCCAAGAAGACTGCTATATAATATACTTGGTGGTGGTTGTACGTTTACAAGCGGGGGCAAGGCACTTCGAACCTTCCAAAGCAGTTGGGAAGCATCCATTCCAGACTTAATGAATTCCAACAGTCATGTACATCCGCAAGTGTGGCAGCAGTGCTCATCTACTTCACCATTTTCCTGTGTTTCCAACTTTAAAAAAAAAAACAATAATATATATATATACATAATAATTGAACCCCTCCTGTTTGTCGATATGTTTTCCCCTTTTTTATGGTGTTTTCCTACAATTCCGCCAACCTTCACCAGGTGGACATGGCCCGCCATCTTGGTGCCATCGCACAGCGCGCCATCGCGCGCCTCCTTTGCAGGGATCGCCCCAGGTCACCACCGATCCATCACTCAGAAGCGCTGCGAAGGCCCCGTCGGTGGAGTGGAGGGAGTGCCTCGGGGGGGTAGGAGCAGACGGTCTCAAAACACGAGCTGTTTGGGCATCTTCATCTACATTGACCCTAAAGACTAGCCAGCCCAATGTAGATAAATACGCCATATGTAGGTGGTTTTTGTGTCTTTTGGAATTCTATTGGATGTTGGGATCTAGCATTCCAGATTGTAGGCAGGGATGAGATCTATGACATGACATCCGAAACAAGAAAAAACACCTCCTGAAACCAGATCCTTCAGGTTGCGTGGATGGCATAGCCCCGATGAAACGGTCTGACCATGACATCCGACTACCAAATAATAGGTGGTGTGAAAACCCCACTTCCATGATCGTGAAACAGGGAGTGTACATCTATAGCCGAGGACCCTCAGACATGCTGCCAACCGTTGGTTTGTGAGGCTCGGACAGATTAAGCTTCCTCACAAGACTGGACTAGACTGTTTATGTTGAATCATGTTGAATCTTTCCTGGTTTAGCAATCCTTCTGTAAACCCAAGGCATCCATGGGTGTATACCCATCCTTAGGACCACAGATCGGAACCAATCTTCCTTTCACCGGTTTGCTCAGCAGAATGATGGGAACTGTCGAGCAACCTTCTCTCATTCATCAACCAGGACACCTACCGGTTTACCACCGAAATGAAACACAGGGAGGTCAATGTACCAGGGTGTGGGGCTCACAGCTTCTTCTGGACGCTGAGCAAAGCTCCTAGATCCGTCCAAGAACTGGTTTTCGGCTTTCGTGGATGGTGAGATTTCAGGAAGATAGATAGCTTCTTGTGCTCATGGTCCACTCAAACACTTTGGGTGTTCCACTTCACACCCCCTTCGCACCACCAAAAGGCGGGTTCAGGCAGGTCCGCCGTCCTCCTTTTTGTTCAGCGGTGTTCTTCGCCGATCCGCCCCAACATCACACGCCCAAGTGGCACGTCTTTCAGTCGCCTCTGCACCTCTGCGCTGACGTCGCCTCCATGCGCCGGATCGCCCCAGGTCACCACTTCGCGAGGCGCGCCGCGCGCGAGGCGCGCCGCGAAGGCCCGGCGCGTGGCCTGGATCTCTTGGATGCTCCTAGGTGCGTCTCCTACACATGGAAACGACCGTGCACATCCGTGCACGTGGGTCGCAGATGCCCACATGTCAGGGCAGTTGCTTTCAGGAGGCCCATGTGATTTCAGGAGGTCCATATATGGTAAATCCTTCCAGAGTCCATTGGAGTGAGTGTGGGGCATGGAGACAATCCGTCAGCTGCACGTCAGTGGTGTCCTGGCCCCCTTGAAGAGGAGACGATCGGAGACAGGATCCCGACATGTGGCTGAGATCGGTTTGGGCACATCCCCTTGGCAGTGAGATTCTTCATACTTCATTTATTCCAACATTCCAGCCTGGTCTTCAAACTCTTAGGAAGAGGAAAGGGAGAACAGCCAAGAATGCTGCCATCATTTTTCAGGCAAGGCTCTTCAACCGATCTTGCACACTGCTGCTGTCTCCTCCAAACGCTTGCAAACCCCACGTAACTACTTGATTGCCACCAGTGCGCCAGGCAGCAAATGCCGCCTCCGTCGTGGCCATATGCTTCTCCGCTTGCACAACCGCCGTGACAGTATCCCCATCAGCAAGTCCCGAGTCTTGAAGAGACTCTCTGGCATCCTCAGCTGCTCTTGGAAGCAGCACACGTAGCCGGTACTCAACCCTGGGTGTGTATGAGAATAGGGAGACCCCCTAAAATGGCAAGGGCATCTTCATATTCAGTTCTATCATAATATTCTCACATCTGTTCATGTATAGAAGCAAGTTGGTCTGTGTGACCACCCAAAATGTTTGCCAACAAAAAACACTTGATGGTCTGCAATCTGAGCCTCTAGCATTCTTCCCTGGAAGAAGATCCTGGGCAAGTAAGGTATTCCAAACGATTCTTTCGCCGCCGCCTGCAGCTTCTGCACTGCAAAAAGCTCATTCAAGGACACTGATAGAGTACTCGATCTGCCACTGGGCAATGTCACATGAATTTGGACGTCTTGATTCTCATCGGTCACCTCACAGCGTCGCGATCGCTCGACGTGAGTCAAGAGTCCAAAACCACAAGAAAAAGTCCCTACTGCGGGCAGTTGATGAATAACCCGACCAATTGGAGTGTGAAACATGGTAAGACCCATTCATACATACTTTTGCAATCAACAGGAGTCTAGATGAGTTCAGGTTTCAGAGGCTGCTCCTACCTTGAAGGGGCATGCAAATCTAGAACAAAAAGCGGTTCACAAAGGGGTGCTTCGTGCAGGAGACAGAGAGCCAACCGCTGATTCACCACTCACTTTGTGTTGGGAAATTGAAAGAACAAAAAGCACAACCCCATTGGAATTTGGTGGCAACGCCAAAATCCACCAAAACAACAGTTGCAAGATGTTGCAAGGAGGTGTTGGACACAGAACAACTTTGACACTGGCATGTAAAATCCCACCACCAACTCAAAACAAAACTATACAAATCAACAACGTAAAACAACAACAACAACAACAACAACAACAACAACAACAACAACAACAA